TTAATTAGTTTATTTTTCTAAATTCTGAAATATTTTACAATATATTACAAAGGTCTTTTTATGGGCTTGCAATTATCTCATGCAGAGTGATAACCCTTCATCTGACTGCAGAAGAATTTATATAGATCAGGGGAAACCATGCAAATAAGGACGCACAGAAGTCAGAGGGAGGATTTGGCTGCCTATAAAAGTGACTGGTGCCATTTGAGATGCTGTAGGGCCATGGTAGGCGTAGGCAGGACACAGGACCTACAGAATACCTGTGACTTGCTAGACTGAAAATGGAAAGCCAGGCAGAACACCCCAGGGCATATCATATCACAGTAGATGCCTATGTTCAGGCAACCAAATTTCACACTGAATTGTGCGTAATCTCTTTGTCTCCTTCCAGAATTCCTCCCATCCTAAACCAGGTGTCTGAGGGGTGTGATGGCTTGCTCTCCAGAGGTATCTATCTTTTCCTACTGACAATGCTGACTGCTTGAATTCAGGGAAGAATGAAGGTTGATGTTGGAAACTTATTTGTGGATGTAATTGCTAAATGTAATGGAAATGAAATGGAGACAGTAATTTCATTCCACAGCAGATATCTATTCATGAAAACATATTAGTACTCCTTCAGGGCTTTCAATTATCCATCTTCTGCAATTCCAGTTTGAAGACTGACAAATATCCTGGCAAGTAACAGTTATTTTTACATTTGGTACTTTAAGTTAATCTAGTGCTCAGTTTAACTGAGGTGTTAGTGCTTCTGGAGCAGAATAAATATTCCTCAGGAAACAAAAGCAGAGATTTACTTCTACTTTCCTTTAGTCCTGGTTAGGAAAATACAGTCAGTTTTACTGGGTTGCCATTTTGTTGTGGTACTACTATGCTGTATTTGCTCTAATTCTAGATGTGAGCAAGCAATACAGTTAATCTGAGGAAAGAAGGAGCATTCTTGTCAAATACCAGACATTGGAGGTCTGTGCCTTGGGGGATAGGCAATACTTATTACTGTTTTAGATTTACATCAAGTGTGCAGTATGTTAATTGGCTGGACCACAAAATGAGAAGTTCTTTTTTTCTTTCTGAGGCTGACAAAAATAATACTGATTGGCAGAGACTATAATAGTGGTTTTTGAACATCATAACCTAATTAGTTTGCAACAAGAAACTCATTAAACATAAACTGCAAATCAATTTGCTTGTTAATTCTATTCGAATTGCACTTTTTTGTGACTAACACAGCACACTGTATGGCAGAAACAGTTCTTCTATGTGTCTTTTGGTCAGCTGAGAAATTAGTTATATGTTCATAGGAGATTAGGATCATAATGTAGAACTTTTTTTGCCTGGTTTTCTTTCTCTAGGTTAAAAAGACCTATCATCATGGTTGAAGGAAGCGTGCTGGGTTTTCAGAGACTTTATGCAGAAAAATAAATTAAGACAAAAAGAGGTATTTATTTTCAACTAGTGTTTGGGGTTTTTTCTTTCTTTTTTTTTTTTTTTTTCTCTCTGAAAGTAAAAAATTAAAGTATTTGGTCTAAATGAGGCCACATAAATCTACTTTATGGAGACAGAAAATTCCAAAGGACAACTCATCCTGTAACAGGAGTCTGAGACAGTGGGCATGATTAACTCTGTGGTGATGCATCTCTTTCTCTTTGCTGACTAGGAAACATGTCTTTATACACAGATTTATAGCTACAGACTTCGGTTTGGCAAGTGTGGTTGCCGCATCAGTGCAGCTCTTATACCGCAGAGCTTGGGGAGAGCTAGGAGTTAACAGCTGTCATTTAAACTTCTAGGGTATGTCTATCCTTACATATACTTCAGCTCATTTTACCTGCAATGGCTTGAGAATCAGCAGTGCAGCAGAGTTAAGACTCGGGGACTACCCAGGCTCTCTGCATAAGAATGATTGTAAACTAGGTACATTAACCTAGAACCAGCCAAGGAATCCATATAATTTCTTAGACTGAACTGGTAAATCCATGATTACCAGTATGTGTAAGAGTTAATTACATTGGTTATTCTGTTCACCTGAACATGATGCTTTTAAATTGCGTATCCTGCAATGTCCCATCCACAGACTTTCAATGGATGGATGATCACTTAAACAGCAGCGGTGACTAGGTGATACTGCCTTTTTTTTTCAAAGGTTGTTCATGCTGGAGAACATGAGAGGAGATGACCTTGAGCAGATTAAACAAGCTGGTCTTGTCAAGCTGGGGGTTTTCTTTTGATAATTGTAAGACAACTGCAACTGCAAGGCTGGAGGCTACCAGCCTCCCTTAACTGAGAAGCCGGTATGTCAGGATTGGTACAGCTAACAGCCAAAGAAACAGCATCTTTTATGGAGACCTCTGGGGAGAGGACACAGCTTCCCCAGAAGTCCCTTACGCAGCTGTGAGATAACCCACTCCAGCTTCACCAGTGATGGACGGACATTGATGCTGCCCAGACTTCTACAGTTGGAGATTTAACAGCTGTCATGTCAACGTAAGCCTGTGCCTGGCAACATCAAGCCCTGTTTTTTTGTTTAGGTTTGATGTGCTCTGGACACATATGTTGGTTAAGACTTTTTAGCTGGCTTTGCTTCACATAAAGCTTGGGACATACAACCCAAGGGATGTAATTGTAATGGCTGCAGAAACTGCAGCCTCAATCCCTCACCTGGAGTTCTAAGTGCACATATGCATTAAAAAATGTGTATCAAATATGGCATCAGACATCCCATGTTTCTTTTAGTCTTCATCAGGTAGCCCATAGAGATGCCCTATCCCTGGAAACATTCAAGGACAGGTTGGACGGGGTTCTGAGCAACCTGATCTAGTTGAAGATTCCCTTCTCATTGTAGGTGACCTTTAAAGGTCCCTTCTGCTCAAACCATTCTGTGATAGAATGACTGATTATTAAATATATTCATTTTACACATCATCTGAGGTGTTTTTGTTACATCTCAAAGACATAAACTTTGTCTGCATGTTAGGTTTCAGTCTCAATTCTTTCCACCTTAAATTACTCCAGTGGGCGAAATTATAAATAGTTTCTGACTTTATTCAGTTCAGTGTTTATACAGTTGCTTTAAATACACACACACATAGTATAAGCAAGACAAACTATTATTCTTCAATACATTTTCAAACTCTGTTGAAAATATGCGTGGAAGCATTGAAGTTTAGCATGGGGAAAG